TTGTTTCATGGTTCTCTGACGTTTCCGTTTTGTGCATTTGTAGTGAATTCTTTCATGAAATTATCCACAGATGCTTGTTATCTCGATTTTGTCAATTGTTATGTACATTTGTTAAAAGTTGTTGCAGTAAATAAACTTTGAATTTGACATTGTGTTTTTAATGGCTTTGAGTGTATAGCTCAGTAATAAACACACCCCTACATGATGTCATATTGAACACAAAATAACCATAAACTTTAACATTCCTCGAAACAACACACCTCTATATATATATATATATCAATTCTTATCAGAAACTATTTATAATTAAGTCAATAAAATCTGACTTAAATAAAATCACGAAATGTGTTGTATTTTCCTAGCAACCAATCAATTCAAAATATTTTCTTTATAAGGGAAAGTACTTTTTTTTTTAAATTGTAGGATTGGCGAAGTTTGTATTATTTCATTTAGACTTTGGTCGATGTTTTCATGATGCAATTAATTCAAATTTTGTTACTGGATGCAAAATACTGTTTTTATTTGCAGGGTTGGATGGCCGAATGGTTAGCATGTGCGCGCTGTATCATAAGGTCTGTCATTGAGTCGGGGGTCACAGTGGCTAAGTGGGTAAGACTCTGACTCGCTAGCCTGGAGGTCGGGTGTTGGATCCCTGCATTGGCCGAGAAAGTTCATCCAGATTTTCCAGCGTGGTTCCCCCTTGTCAGTGATGCAGGACGGAGAGCCTGACAAGGACAGCTGTCTAGTCTATCGGATGTGACGAAAAACCGAGGTCCTGTGTACACATTGGCGTGCACATAAAAAATCCCTTGACAGTTGGAATTTGGTATAAAAGTAGGCTGTAGTGCTGTTGTCCAGGCAAAATTTCTCTCATAGCACACTGTATGGCGTATGCCTATCTTAACTAGCCCAATTCGGAGCAGAACAGTAGGACATTAAACCCCATTTCATTTCATTTCTAGCACTGAGTCAATTGACGTGGCGTCGATTCTCCGGTAGTATGTGACAAGGAGTAGATGGCGCCTGTCCAACCTTGTGGGTTTCATCTGGGTCCTCCGGTTTCCTCCTACTGCTCAAGACCCCTATTCGCAAGCGAATTATTGAAATAAAATTGAACCATGTTTTAGTCCTGAATTGACTTAGATTGTCTCAAGTGGACATTAAACCCCATCTCTCTCTCTTCTCTCTCGGCCAACAGTGGGATCAACCCCAGAACATCCTGGGTATTGAGCTTGGGTAATAAAAAAAACAAAATCAGCAATCAAGAAAATTATCTTCAAAATGAGAAAAACATCTGAAACACTGACTTTCAGAGATTCTATCTGGATTATCACCCTTAGAAGTATTATTTCTATAATTCCTATAATAATCTGAAATTATATTTTATAAACTTACCTGTTTGTTGACTTCCAGTTTAACCAAAGAAACAAACATTAATCCAAGATGTTTTCATAAAATTACAAACCCGAAGATTTATTAACGTGATTTAACAGTAGCTTACGATATCAGAATTAATATTCCTCTAGTGGCTAACGATATCAGAGTTTGTATCCCGTTCGTGTATTAGTTTTGCGGTTTTCTAGTTTTTGCTGTGTGTTCTGCAGTATTCTTGCACATAAAACAACATTCCATTTAGAAAAGCAACAATGTAGTATGTGTACTAGCCAATAATTCAGATATTACAACATTATTTTGTTAAAAATACAACAAACAATTACATATTAACACAATCCATCAAATCTTTTAAAATTAACTTTATCAACAATTCACATATTTTGTTTGCAAATTATTGAAAATCAAACAGGCTTTTTTTTCATACAATATTAGAAATTCCACAGAACCAAAGATAAAGTGAACAATTCATACAGGAAACTTTATAAAAGAATATTTTGTAGAATGTTAGCCTTACACTACAAATCAAGTAAAACTGGATGGAATATTGTAAAAGTTAACCACACACTTTAGCAAATAATTCGTAAATTTAGTAAACTTACAAGACTATAACCGGACAGAATATTGCTATTATTCCAAAGTTCTAAATTCATAAAGTTTACACTAGATATTGAATATATTCTAACATTATTTATATTCCTAATTCTGAATAATTTCTCACTTTCACCAATAAAAGAAGGGTGTGTAAAACTGAATGAGAGTTTTAAGCTTCTGAAAAAATAGTAACTTTCACCAATAAATGAACAATTTGAATGTGAAACTTCCAAAATAATTCTGAATAATTTGTAACTTTCCCCACTAAACAAAGGAATAGATATTGAAACACAATCACTCAATAATACAGGATCACTTTCAGTTCACTAATAATCAAAACGATTTGAACTAAAAGAGACTCCCTAACCTCCCAAATAATCTATAACTTTCAACAATAAACGAACGATTTAAACTCAAAGAGAGTTTCTAACCTCCAGAATAATCTGTACCTTTCACCAATATACAAACGATTTGAACTCAAAGCGAGTTCCTAACCTTCACAATAATCTGTAACTTTCACCAATAAACGAATGATTTGAACTCAAAGAGAGTTTCTAACCTCCAGAATAATCTGTACCTTTCACCAATATACAAACGATTTGAACTCAAAGAGAGTTCCTAACCTTCACAATAATCTGTAACTTTCACCAATAAACGAATGATTTGAACTCAAAGAGAGTTTCTAACCTCCAGAATAATCAGTAACTGTCACCAATAAACAAACGATTTGTATGTGAAACTGATCGAGATCTCCTTGCTTCCAAATTAATTCAGAGTAATCTATACCTTTCACCAATAAACAATCATTTGTATTTAAAACTGATCGAGAGGTCCTAACTTCCAAATTAATTCAGAATAATCTGTAGGTCTACTTTTCACTATTAAACAAACGATAGAATGTGAAACTTATCGAGAGAGTGTTAATAATGAATTGTATTAATTAACAACTATGTGATATATAATAAGACCAGGTGAGAGATGTAAGTATAAAGGTTTAATATTGGACAATGTCCCTTGAACATTGAACATTGTAATCAAAGGTGTCTTCTAGACAGGTGAATACAGGTGTGTACGACTAAAGTACAGGTAATTAAATATAACCACTGATTAACAGGTGTCCTTAATAATCATCAAAGCTGCTGATTGTCATTGATATGCGAGCCACGATAGCTCAGTGATTGAGGCGCTTGCTCATTCACCAAGAGGTCAAGGCTTCAATCCATGTGCTGGCTGAGAAATTTCCCCTGAATTTTTCAGCATAGTTTTCCCTTGTCAGGGGTATTACACAAAAAGTGCACGATGGGAATCGAGGGCCTTATATATTTACATGTATATAAACCTGAACCATTGTCTATATAACATGTAACGATTTAGGCCTACTATACAGTAGAAGCCACTCGAGGGAATTTTCAGGACTGACCGCTTAACGGGAGTGACCTCTTGCTAAAATCACAGGTGTTTTGTTAAGGCTAACATCAAGTTAAATTTTACGTTTGGATGCTTCGGAAGCTAACATTGATACCCAGTAAATTTGGTCGCGCTGAAACTTGCTTGGAATGAAGATTCTTTGACACAAATCTCCAATATAAATTCTGTAAAGGTGTCATTTTGTCCTACCATAGTTATATACATTGTATTTGATAACATTTATCCATTTTTGTTAAGAAAATCCATGAATTATTCTTATTTTACCAAAAAAGCACAAGTCAAAAATAGTATCGCTGAATTTGTCAATGAATTTCATGGCTGTTGAATGGACGATGTTTGGTTAAATTTATAACTTATATATTAGTGACCGCTGGTCGCATTCGAGGAGCGATCAACCAAAGAAATTTCTAAGGGAGGAAGTTTTGGGGACCATTTACAAGGAGATGCCATTGAAACAGAGTGGCTGTTTGTACAGATTCTACTGTATATCTGATAATATTATCCAGATCGTACAGCTGGGCAGTTTTTGATGAATCTTGATGGTATTTAACACTTTCTGCATGGCAATCTATTAACTGAATATGTGTATTAGATTATAGATGGTAAGCTTAGTTTCTTTCCTTTTTTCATCATATCTGAATGATACCCGGTCCCTAGTGTTTGTTTCACAGTAAAAGATGAACAGATAAAAAGTATGCCAACCAAAACTGATTTTAACACTGGTTTAAAGATACATTATGTAAGATTTAGATAAAGAGCTGACAATTCTTGCTATAATAGCTCAAAAATAGATAATGTAAAATGAAAATATTGAATATTTCATTCAAATTACTTTTTTCTGAACCAAGTTATTACTGTTTGTAGTTTTGACAAGATGTGTGCATTGTGGTAACCAGGGCACTGGTATATTCAAGACTTAGCCTCGCTTTCCCATTTTTAAATTTAATGTTTAAATGGTGAGCAGTTAAAATCTCAAGTATCCAAAGCCATTGAGTGTTGATTATGGTCTTGTTTTGTTAATAAATGTCTAATTAATAGTTTACATAACATTTCAGCTCGAAAGACAGACATTTCACCAATAGATAACGTACATACAAACATTATTTATTCAATAATCATTCTATTAGCTACTTGTACACTTTCTATAATGTTGCCCTAAATCAAAATATTTCCATCTATTTATCTATATATATGTATTAGATAGGACAGAGAGAGAGAGAGATGGGTTTAACATCCACTCGACACAAACTAGGTCAATTCGAGACTAACTTATGGTTCAATTTTATTTCAATAATTCACTTGCGTGTAGGAGGTCTTTAGCAGTGGGAGGATACCGGACGACCCAGAGATAAACCATGACATTGGACAGGCAACCCTACTCCTTGTCATGAGCAACCTGGTAATTGAAACCACGCCAGTTGACTCAATGGCAGATCTTATGATACAACACGTGCATGCAAACCATTCGGCCGTTCCCACCCCCACCCCCCAGACTGAGACATTTCTGTTGTAATAAGATACTATTTAATCACAGAAACATGGAATAAACTATTTGAATATAAAAACTATTTAATAGATATAGTCACCTGTTAAACTGTGGGTGCCATTTTCTCCTAACCCTCCATCGGAATCTGAAAAACACAAAATAAAAAAAAAACAATTTAATAACTGAGTAATAGATGCAGATGACCATTAAATTTTCACCATCTCGGTACTCACAAACTTTAGCTCATTTATTTATAGCAATTCTCTGTCTCTCTTTTCTCCGTTTTTTGCATGCCCATTTTTGTTGAATTTTGGGTCTAGAATTGACAAAAATGGTTTGAATTAACATTTTCTGTCAGGTTTTTGGTAAATATTCATGATTTAGAGGCGGAAGGATAACAGAAATAATAGGTTGGTTATGGTGATGTGTGTGGCGAATAGTTACAAGTTTTTATTACGCTACTTCAAGTTTGGGTATCCCAAATCTTTTGCAGTCAACCTCATACAAAATCTTTAGTAAGGACATGACCATCTGTTGCTCTGTCTGTAGTGAAAAGCGTTCAGCCGAACAAAATTTTGCGGAAAAGATGGAGCCGGACAAAGAGACCAGAATTAACATTGAAGTCAATGAATAAATTAATGGTGGTCTACATCCTAATACATATCAGATTATCTCCCTTGACACATCAAATTATCTCCCTTGATACACATGTATATCAGATTACACTACAAATATAACACCCCTGACTACAATGAAATGAAATTGAGTTTAATGTCCTACTCCAATTGCACTAATGAAGACAGGCATACGGCATACAGTGTGCTGTTTTTCATGCCCGGACAGTGGCACTACGGCCTACACTTATACTTAATTTCAACTGCCAAGCGATCTTTTACATGCATGCCAATGTGTACACTGGTACTCGTTTTTTTTGTCCCATCCTAACGACTACACTATACGTTGTCCATTGTCAGGCCCTCTGTCCTGCACAACTGACAAGGTGGAACCACACCGGAACATCCTGATGAACTTTATTGGTCAACATAGAGATCGAACTCGGAACCTTCAGGTTTGCGAGCCAGCGCCCTACTCACTGAGTTACCGTGGCTCCATGATTACAAAGAAGCCTAGGGGGCAGATAGAAACATTACAGATCCATATTCTGTAAGAGCTAAATCTGCCTATTGCAGGTCTTTTTTTTTTAGCTTCTTTTTTTTTAGCTTCAAATGTTATATAAAGTACATGTACTATCTTGACATTTATTCATCAGACAAAAACAAGCCTATTATGAAATCTCTAGACTATCGGATGGCTGAGAAATTGGATGGATTAGACCCGCTGCGACATATAATTCATACATGATGCATTTCTAATTATTCAAATAGATAAGAGAAAGAAAGAGAGAGAGAGAGAGAGAGAGAAAGAGAGAGAGAGAGTTTAACATCCACACAACACAAACTAGGTCATTTCGGGACTAACACATGGTTCAATTTTATTTCAATAATTTGCTTGCGCGTAGGGATCTTTAGAAGTGGGAGGAAAACGGAGAACCCAGAGAAAACCCCACGAGGTTGGACAGGCGACCCTACTCCTTGTCATGTGCAACCAGGGAATGGAAACCACACCAGTTGACTCAATGACAGGCCTTATGATACATCATGCGGCCATCCAACCCACCGCGCTGACCTGGAGCAAACTGGTCAAAATATAGAATGACTTAACATCAAATTGTTTTTGCCTTGAAGTCAAATGAATGAAATGGGGTTTAATGTCCTACTGTTCTGCTTCGATGGGGTTGAAGTCAAAATATGTGCCAGCATATCAATAGCACACGACCAATAAAAACTCAGCGACCATAAACTATTTTAGCCTTTATCAAATATGCTTTACGTAAAAAAAGCCACAGTACAAACTGGGATCTACCCAGCCATCTGATACCAGATACATAACCATAAGCATGTCGTCATTCATTCACACAAAAAAAAAAAAATTTTTTTTTTTTTTTTAGAAATTCCAAAGTCCACGAAAAATAAATCAAAGCAAATAAAATAGTTTTAAAAAAAACCCAAGTTATTGTAGATATTGCTTCGTCATTTTACCATGTTTGTTTCAGGCCACTTGTTGCTTCATTGAAATCTAGAGTACAGCAATATGTAGGACTATTGCTATTATATACAGCTGAATAACATTCAAAGTAGTATAGACAGATTTGTTGGGTAACCTTTAATTAATAGGCACAAGAAATGCTCAAATGTATTGGAGTTGAATAACATTGAAAGCAGTATAATAGACCTCGTCCAAGAAGGATTTGTTGGCTGAACTATAATTAATAGGTACAAGAAATTCTCAAGCGTTTTAAGGAGACATGAAGCAGTTTGGGTGGGTGGTGTGTGTGGGTGTGTGGGGGCTTGTAGCAGAAAGCAGAGTAGAGCAATTTGACTGAAATTTTCAGCATATTCTAGTGCCACAAAACATTTCATTTATTATGAGAGAGAGAGAGAGAGAGAGAGGGAGAGAGAGAGAGAGAATGGGGTTTAAGTCCACTCGACACAAACTAGGTTATTTCGGGACTAACATATGGTTCAATGTTATTTCAATAATTCGCTTAGGGGTCTTTAGCAGTGGGAGGAAACGGGAGAAAACCCACGAGGTTGGACAGGCGACCCTACTCCTTGTCACGTACAACCGGAGAATCAAAACCCCGCCAGTTGACTCAATGACAGACCGTATGATACAGCGCGCGCGTGCTAACCATTCGGCCATCCACCCCCCTCCCCACCTTATGTTGCAACGCGCACACTTCAACTATTCAGCCACCCTACCCCCATTGATATATTGTAAGAAAGTGAAATTGTGGCCTAATATGTTTTCATACACATGAATGCATCCATGTCTTTTTAACTCTGTATATACGTGTATGACAAATTTTTATTATTATATTATTTATGATAATTTAATACAGATACTGTCAAGTGTTTTTCTATTTTCTATTGAACGTATAAATGAATACATACAATCTCTAAACATATTGTAGAGCTTCTTTCAATGCTGTTATTTAATATGAAAATAAATATTGAATCGAGAAACGGTCGCATGATCTAACCTACATTATTCAATTATTAAACTCAATAGATATTCACTCAGTCAACTTCAAATCCTTTATCATTTTCAATGGCGACTCTGACATGTGTGTCAAGATGTTTTCCAGTTGAGTCTGTACAAGAGAATTAAGAACCTTTTTAGTACATGTAATCTCTGTGAACTTTCTATAAGTGTATCAGTAGGCCTATAGCCTGACAACTGTTTTACATATAACAGAAATAAAATGAAATAAAATGGGTTTAACATTTTATCTTTCTGCACCAAGTGCTGACACGATATATTGTTGAATTTATATATCGTAATTCACGTGTATTGAATCACATGACACTGAATCAATGTATCACGATTCTTTTTTACGTTTTTTTTTTATGCTTGAATAAGTAACCTGTCACTCTTAATTATCCATGTCACACAAACACTCTTAAATTGTTTTGGTTTTTATTTTGATCCACATCAATATCATGATATAAAACAGTTTTATTTCATAGAGATCGGCAGGACTAAAAATATCAATTATTCATTTATCCCGTTTTTTACTTGGTATTGTTCTTTTTTATCAAATCAGAACGACTGGACACTCTTCCTGGCAAGGAATCATGTCTAGTTATTCGGGTGTTACAAAAAAAAAAACAACCCAAAGTTTTATACCATTGGCAGCGTGTTAAGAGATCACATGACAGTTTGAAATAGACGCACAGCACATTGCGTTAGCAATCTGGTTAAAACACAAATCCTATTTCATTTTGTTTTTTATAGTTTAAAATTTTTTTTTACTTGTCTTTACTACACTAGGATCTGGAAGAGTTGTTATCATTGACGTGTTCTGGATGATGTGAGGGATTAGTCAATGAAACTGCCTGTTACACCGAGTTCTTGGCATAAGGTGCACGCGGAACTGTAGGTATTCCACTAGAAACATCAATACTGGTTGGTTAATAAAATGTCTAAGGTCATACGACCCTATGACGCAACCTTCCACTACAACTGGTCAGATCTTCATGTAGTAGAGGCCATTGAAAGTATAAAAAAAACGAAATGAAATATAGATCTGTATTTTACTCATATTAACTAGTTAAGCATAAAAGAAGGTCTTCAACCACATTTCCTTATATTTATGGTGGGAGGGTGGGGTGAATGGCCGAATGGTTAGCATGTGCGCTTTGTTGTATCATAAGGTCTGTCATTAATTCAACTGGGCCACTGGCGTAGATTCGATTCCCTGGTTCTACTTGACAAGGAGTAGGGTAACCTGTCCAACCTTGTGGGTTTTCTCTGGGTTTCCTCCCACTGCTTAATCCTGAATGAATTAGTGGACGTTAAACACCATCTATCTCTCTCTATCTCTCTCTCTCAAGAAATAAATATGTGTGATTGCCGAGTGCACATATTAAATAGATACCAATGTGTGAGGCATTAATTATAATTCATGGACATTTAGTAATCTATATTCGTCTGTTTCAAGGTCATTCAGGTCCTAATTTATAAACAGAAATCATGTCTGTACATTATTCATCTGGTAAAATATGTAAACTAGAATCAACAAACGGAGCCACTCAACACAACCTTGCTCATCTGTCCTACTTCTCTGCACTGACTGGGATAATGAATACAGGCTTATGCCATACTGCGTATATGTGTGACATTTTGCCCGGACAGCGGCAACCATACAACCGGGGAATCGAAACCATGCCAGTTGACTCAATGATAGACCTTATGATACAATGCGAACATGCTAAGCATTCGGCCATCCAACCCTCCCTGAGAATCAGTTTGAGTATCTTGACAATAGCCATTGTGTAATGACCTCACTATATCTGTCAGTTATCTAGTTTACTAAGGTCATTCATGTTTGACCCAACTGTAATCTTACAGGACAGAAGACAAAACGTGTTGTACCTCAGGTCAAAAACTAGGATTTTTTTAATAGTATGATTTGGCAGAATAAGAGCAAGATGACAGAGCTATTTCTCAGTAAAGTGGGGAATATCAAATGACAAGGTGAAACCAGTCTATAAAATCCCGCGAAAGTTTTACGATCCATGC